GTACGAAAGACTTCAATAATGAGAACAAATATAAAATTCTAGATACAGAATAAACAATGAGAAGAAAATTATTAGATGAATAAATTTCAAAACAGTAGGAATTTCCCGTTTCATTAAATAAACCTGGTGTGTAGGTACCTATTTCATGATTTCATAATAATTTCAAAAGGAATTATGTATCCTTTGCAAAACTGAATAAAACGAATTTATGAGCAGAGACGAGAATTTAGTGCTCACAATACGTTTTCCTTATTTAATTAAGAAATGTTGTGTAAAAACCTTCAAATAAATGGGTTTTATTAGAAAATATGCACATGAACCTTGTGTCGAATGAAATAGGAGGAAGGAAATGATCAAGTTTATAGATAGATAGATAGATAGATAGATAGATAGATAGATAGATAGATAGATAGATAGATAGATAGATAGATAGATAGCTTTATTCAAAGAATTGTACTTATACATGATACATAAACAAATACAATTAGTTGAAAGGTGAACCGGCGTCAAATTAGTGGTGTGTAGTAACCATGCACAGAACATCAATATGTGTAATGCTAACAAACAAAATGAGTATTTACATAGATATTTTACAAGAAAACAGACTTGTTCAAATTGTAAATTATGGATAAGATACGGTTTATAAAATTGTAAAGAATAGATAAAATATATAAAATTGTACAGTATAGATAAAATATATAAAATTGGTTGAAATAGAAACAACAAAAAATTAATTAGAAACTGAAAAAACGAAAACATACGTGTACAGTGGAATAGGGTAGAATATATAAAATAGGGTGATATTGAATCAGAATAAACTGGAATCTAAAAATTCTTGTAAACTATATGGTTCGATCTTGTTCAATAAATCATGTACAATATGTTTGAATTTTTGAAAGCAGGGTTCAATTTTCACACTCGTTGGTAACTTATTAAAGAACTTTTGATACACGAATACATCGGGGTTTTTTCTGCCAGAGTTAGTTTGTGGGCATGAGTTTTCAAATCCACAGTTCTCGTTTTATAACTATGTTGTGACTTAAACATATCACATTTTTCCCTATTTCTGAACAGAAATACCAATAATTTTTGATAATCATAGTACACAGTCGATAAAGTGACCCCCCCCCCCCCCATAGTTTATTTCTGCGTCGTGCAGAATATCACTCGTGCGAAATATGTCACTTTTCACACCAGTTATGTAATATACTATGTATTAGGATGAGTAAGCGTTTTTATGCGTGTACTCGTTTCCAGAGCGTGATAAAGGAGATGAAACGGCTCGTGCGGATAAGTTATTTTTCCGCACGCTCGTAGGAAATAGTAGGTATATTGTTTAACGAGCACGGAATGATTGTGCAAGTTATACATTATAATTTTTCTTCGGCTATAATAGATAACAGCGGCATTTTCGAGTTCTTCGTCTTGTAGCCATCTCATTTCCTGTCAAGTAATGCTCATCTATGAGACAGAGATGTCATTGCTTGAAATTTGACATTCTATGAGCGATGAGATTTTCTTGATATAATAACACAATGGAATCATTGTGATATCAGATACGGAAATAAAATTGGTGACATACAAAGTACCTCATTGATGTATCGAACACAGTAAAACAAGAGCAAGCTTGTGTTATAGCCGTAGAAAATAGTGATTTATGTAACAAGTGCGTAAAGTGGTACTTTTTCAGGAGTAGGAAATGACAATGTTGACGGCAATTCCTATGAGTGAAAAAAACACTACGCACGTGTTACATACATTATTTTTCCTACAACTGTAAAAAAAAGACAACCTCAGTCAACTCATGATGTAAATGATTAAAAAATATTTCATGTCACTTTATTGATAGCACCTGGTTTCTAAGAACGAAATAGCCAGAGCGACCTCCAGCTAATTTGAATAAATCGCTCATTTCGCTTGCGTTCAGTGATGCTGATCAAATAATAAATGAGATGCGAGCATATTATTATTTAATACGTGAGGATATCGTGGCGCCTTCTTCCCGCTCCCATCCCTATTTCACTGGCACTCCAAATACGAAGTCAGCTGCCTTAATTTGTTCGCTTGCTGTCTTGCTGAATCCCGTAAAGGAGCCCATAGACAGCGTTGTTGGTGGGCTGTTCTGTTCGTCGAACAAGTATGTTTGAACAAAAATGACGCAAAACCGAAGTGTATGGCGTGTGGCTAGCGAAAACGACCATTTTGCAGGCGTACACTTCAGTTTTACGTAATTTTTGTTTGAACAGACTTGTTCGGCACACAAAACAGTCTATTATCATGGGCTCCTTCCACACAAGCATTCATTCCATCGCTTGGCATCCGTGAAAAGAGCGTACTTTTTTTCAACTTCTCCGTAAAATAGAGTAGAGTAGAGTAGAGTAGAGTTTTATTGACTACTTGATGTACATTCATACATTTGTAGCAAGTCCTAAATGATTCCATTTTGGTGAAAAGAATGTAAAAAATGGTAAATTATAATAAAAGACAAAAAATATACGATCAGAGACGAATAATATACAATCAAAAACAAAAACAAAATACACATTTACGTTTCCCTCAAGAGTGTATGTTCGGCAAGTGTGTTCCTTGTATCAAAATTGTGGCCACTAACGTGAGCCAGATATTCTGCAATCGAGTAAAAGCAATTGTTTTCAAAATAATCTTTCATAACTCTCTTGAAAAAAACATATTCATAGTTTTAATACTGGCAGGAAGAGCATTATATAATCTGAGATCATGAGAATTTTTTTGTGATTTGCTGAGATTGTAACGTTGAGGTCTAATAAGATCACTGTTGCGTGTATTGTGATTATGCAAACTGGATTGCTTAGGAAGCAGGGGAGCTTTTTTGTGAATCTCTACTATACTCGTATAAATATACATTGAAGGTACTGACATTATTTTGTGATTTATGAATGAATCACGACATGAATCTCTGTAACCAATTCCAACAAGAATTCTCAGAGCCTTTTTTTGTAATATGAAAATACATTGGGCATCACTAGAATTTCCCCATAGTAGAATCCCATAAGAAATATGAGATTGAATTAGTGAGCAAAAAACTATTTTCAATGTAGTGAAATTAGTTATAGGTTTAAGTTGTCGAAGTAAAAATAGAGTACTCGATAATTTACTTTTCAAACCTAAAATGTGGCTGGACCAATTTAACCTATATTATCCAAGGTGAAACCCAATAACTTAACAGTTTGGAACTCAGGTAATGGCTGAGCCGTAGATATCACCATGTTTTGTGATTTATCGTTATTCATCATAAGTTTATTAACACTAAGCCAATAGTTGGCTTTTCCTTGTATTTCGACAGATTGATCAGCAAGAGATGAAAGATTTTTTGAGGAGTAAATGAGGGATGTATCGTCAGCAAATAATACACTGTGACATGGTTTCATATAGTTTTAGAGATCATTAATATAACTCACAAACAACAGCGGACCCAATATCGATCCCTGAGGCAAATAATGAAACAGTATTTTGTCATTTAAAAATTGTACACTTAAGGCACACAAGATATATATATAATATTGCAGTTATAAGAAATAGTAATTTTTTAACAAATGTGGAAAGTGATAATTTTCCGCACGCGAATCCCGTTGACCCAAACGACGCGAAGCGGAGTTCAGGCAAACAGTCCAGTGCGGGAAAGACACTTTCCGCATGAGTTAGGAACAATATATTTTCAACAAGCGTAGGAAATTGATCGATTTGTTCAATCAATTATTCCTGCAAAAAGGAACAACTAACAATAGTGATATATTCTCTATCTTTTAATAATTAGCGATATATCTATTGTATGTACCGATTGAAGCATTATGTAGGTAAGCTAATTGCGGAAGCCAGCATGTCCATGGTGTTTGGCCTCTAGGTTTCAGACATTTCTAGGCAATTCATTGGCAATAACTCATCTGTATCGCATCCGTAGCTGGAAGTTTTTCATCGCAATTCCACTGAATCGAAGATGACAGTAACGCTCTGTCTGTCACTCTGAGATTTTTTCATGTTCTGGTTCCCACGAAAAGGGATATCCTGTAATGTTCAGAGAACATCGTGAGAACCAAGAGAAATAAGGTAGGAATTGATGTTCTTCAATTTCTGGAGGTTATATGCCACGGGGAACACCTTCCTTGGCTGTTCGTTGGATGAACGAGTCTTTGGAAAGAGATGTTCTGCAGGTTTCCAATGTGACCACGAAGGGGTGCAATGCCTCAACTCGACGGGTTAATCTTCCGGGGACTGCCAAGGGAGGAACAATTGTTGATATTTCAGAAGACCATCGAGCGAGGTTTTTAGCATTCATGATAAGAGAGTCAGATGAAACTCCGTCGACCACTACATGGAGAGACCTGTTTGAGAGAAAACTAGCTATCAGAGAACATAGCTGGGGAGGCAAGCGATAAGTTGGCTTACACTAACTAACTTGTCTTTTGATTGACATGACAACAATTGTTTTCCACATCAGATCAATTGAAGGCTATAGGGGGATTTATAACAATCAATTATTATGTTTCAATATTTCTTCATTTTCACAATGAATAGTGCAATTTGATGAATGATTTTGTACAAACTTACTGAATACTGCAACAAAAAACCTAAAATTTTCATATTGTGTTACCCACCACTCATATTTTGCGAGAATATCATATTAATGTTTTTCCCGCACTAGTGTGCAGGTCACTGATGATGATCAAAAACATCTCAAAACGTGACTTACAGTCACAGAACATGTCATGCCAAAAATTATGGAAATCGATCTCAGCCTTCTCATTTTATGAACAAAACTATATGTTTCTCCAAAAAAACTACAACGCCTTGTACCAACTCAAAGAGACGATTTTGGATAATTAACTTGTTTTTATCACAGGAGTCCACAACCGAGCCATGTCCCAACCTTTTACAGACACCCTGTATATATCAATTTTTTTGTGTTCATAAATATATCTGACAATATTCCTTTTCAAGATTTTTACGCGTGAATTCGTTTCCAGAGCGTGATCAAGGAGATGAACCGGCTCGGCATGATCGTCGACCTGTCGCACGTGTCCGTAGCCACGATGCGAGACGCCCTCGACGTTTCGAAGGCGCCGGTCATCTTCAGTCACTCGTCGGCGCGCGCGCTCTGCAACTCGTCGCGCAACGTGCCCGACGACACGCTGCGCAAGCTCGCCCTCAACGGGGGCGTGGTCATGGTGAATTTCTATTCGCTGTTCCTGACGTGCCGGGAGGCCTCCAGCATTTCCGATGCCGTCGGTGAGTAATTACCAAAATAGCTCAAGAGTCGTTACGATTTTTTTGAGAAGTAGTGTATACATCGGCGAAAAACTGTCTAATGTTGTATTCATGAATGTCATTATTGAACATAATTGTGATGTTTGTTTTTATATTGTCGTGAAGAATTCTATGTACAAATTTACACTGTTCTAATTTGAATACAACATCAAGTTTTTGTATTTGTGTTATTTGGTGTACCAAATTTGTATTTGTCTGATTCTGTAAGGAAAATAAGCTTAACCGCTTTATTTTGGAGTATTTGGCACCTATTTAATTGAGTTAGATTGGTTGGGCCCCAAATTACTATCACATTTCTGAAAATTGAGAGAAAATAAGAATTATATATCATCCTCTTGACATTATCATTAAGAAAGTCTCTGCATTTGTAGAGGGCTCCAACAATCGGTACAATTTTTTTATGTATGTGATGTACATGTTCCTACCAACTGAGGGTGTTGTCTAAAATTAATCCTAAATATTTTGTGCTGCTGACCTGTCCGACTGCATGTCCACCAATTTCTAATCTGAATTCCTCAATTTTGAAATGTTTATGGTTATTCAGTTTAAGCTTAATTGCTACGATCCATTTATAATATGTGGACAAGTCTAAATCGATGTGATCTACTAGTCCTTTAGTGTATGTGCCACTATAGACTAGGACAGTATCGTCTGCGATTGTGAAGTATCTTGCCTCCAGCCCAGACGTTTTTAGTAAAAATAATGAGTATATTGAAGGTCCTAGGACAGATCCTTGTGGAACTCCGCACCCAGGGCTTTTAGTATCACTGCTGTATTTATCTATACCAACATATTGCTTTCTGTTCTTTAGATATGGTTTTAGTAACTTAGATATTGAAGTTTTGAAACCCATCTGATTTAATTTGTCTAATAGGATTGTATGATCCACGACATCAAAGGCATTCCGGAGATCAATGAATAACGATATTACTGTATGACCATCGTCTAAGTTTGTGGAGATGTAGACAGTTAGGTCAGCCGTTGCACCCGATACCCAAACTCAAAAAATAAATAGATGGAATTAATAGGTACTATACGGTTTGTTGAAATTCCCGTATGGGACCCTTGAAGGAAAAAAAGCCACACTCATTGAGGGCCCCAAGTTTTCAAAATCTCACTTAGCTGAGATGGGCCGGTCCGGCACTGCAGTGAATCCGGGAGACGTTTCTTGTCCATTTTTTTGCATTCCTGCGATTCCTTTTACATTTTTAAAACTCCGCTGGCTCCGATCCAAATATATTAATCTGTTTGTAGCTACGTACCTGGGCGTGAGGGAACGATAGAAGGAAAACTTTTCCGTAAAATAAAATGAAAAATTTCATCTTTGTTTTGAAAAATGGCGGATGCGTCGGCAATACTGACACGGGAGACGGGAAGTCTGGAAATGTATTATGAAAAGCCATTTTTGCGATAGTAGAAGAATAGGAATGTTCTCATTCTTTGTACTCTTTGCTGCTGCTGAGACAGAAATATATCTACCGTTGATATTATGACAGTTCATGAAATATGATATACGAGGCTGCTCTATGCAAAACGTGTCTGACTGCAATTTTCTATTTATTTGTACTTACAGACAACCATATTGAAATTCAATTACATACAAGGTGTTCTCGAAAGTGAGTATGTATGTAGAACTCATCAAGATAGACAATTTCACGAAAAATTACTCTTATAACAATTGCGAAATACCGAAGTTCAAAAACTCAAAATTGGCTTTATAACGGTATATTCACAAAAATTGTTCGGAATTATGTCATAAGCTGTGAACATATCTTGGAAGTGGAGCAATTTGGGGAAATCGATTGAATAAAATGAAAATTTCATCTTTGTTTTGAAAAATGGCGGATGCGTCGGCAATACTGACACGGGAGACGAGGAATGTTCTCATTCTTTGTATTCTTTGCTGCTAGTGAGACAAACATATTATCTACCGTTGATATTATGACAGTTCATGAAATATGATATACGAGGTTGCTCTATGCAAAATAAAGTGTCTGACTCTATATGGTCTGACTGCATATTGAAATTCAATTACATAGAAGGTGGTCTCGAAAGTGAGTATATATGTATAGAACTTATATCAAGATGGACAATTTCACTAAAAATTGCTCCTATAAAAATTGCGAAATACCGAAGTTCAAAAACTCTAAATTGGCTTTATAACGGTGATGTTATATTTACAAAAATTGTTCGGAGTTATTTCATAAGCTGTGAACATATCTTGGAAGTGGAGCAATTTGAAGAAATCGATTGAATAAAATGAAAATTTCATCATTGTTTCGAAAAATGAGGGATGCGTCGGTAATACTGACACGGGAGACGGGAAGTCTGGAAATGTATTATGAAAAGCCATTTTTGCGATAGTAGAAGAATAGAAATGTTTTCATTCTTTGTATTCTTTGCTGCTGCTGAGACAAACATATCTACCGTTGATATTATGACAGTTCATGAAATATGATATACGAGGTTGCTCTATGCAAAATGTGTCTGACTGCAATTTTCTATTTATTTGTACTTACAGACCATTGAAATTCAATTACATAGGGTGTTCTTGAAAGTGAGTAGGTATGTAGAACTCATCAAAATAGACAATTTCACTAAAACTTGCGAAATACCGAAGATCAAAAACTCAAAATTGGCATTATAACGGTATATTCACAAAAATTGTTCGGAGTTATGTCATAAGCTGTGAACATATCTTGAAAGTGGAGCAGTTTGGGAAAATCGATTGAATAAAATGAAAATTTCATCTTTGTTTTGAAAAATGGCGGATGCGTCGGCAATACTGACACGGGAGATGTGAAGTCTGGAAATGTATTATGAAAAGCCATTTTTGCGATAGTAGAAGAATAGGGATGTTCTTATTCTTTGTATTCTTTGCTGCTGCTGAGACAGAAATATATCTACCGTTGATATTATGACAGTTCATGAAATATGATATACGAGGCTGCTCTATGCTAAACGTGTCTGACTGCAATTTTCTATTTATTTGTACTTACAGACAACCATATTGAAATTCAATTACATACAAGGTGTTCTCGAAAGTGAATATGTATTTAGAACTCATCAAGATAGACAATTTCACGAAAAATTGCTCTTATAACAATTGCGAAATACCGAAGTTCAAAAACTCAAAATTGGCTTTATAACGGTATATTCACAAAAATTGTTCGGAGTTATGTCATAAGCTGTGAACATATCTTGGAAGTGGAGCAATTTGGGGAAATTGATTGAATAAAATGAAAATTTCATCTTTGTTTTGAAAAATGGCGGATGCGTCCGCAATACTGACACGGGAGACGAGGAATGTTCTCATTCTTTGTATTCTTTGCTGCTGCTGAGACAAACATATCTACCGTTGATATTATGACAGTTCATGAAATATGATATACGAGGTTGCTCTATGCAAAATAAAGTGTCTGACTCTATGGTCTGACTGCATATTGAAATTCAATTACATAGAAGGTGTTCTCGAAAGTGAGTATGTATGTATAGAACTTATATCAAGATGGACAATTTCACTAAAAATTGCTCCTATAAAAATTGCGAAATACCGAAGTTCAAGAACTCAAAATTGGCTTTATAACGGTGATGTTATATTTACAAAAATTGTTCGGAGCTATTTCATAAGCTGTGAGCAAATCTTGGAAGTGGAGCAATTTGAAGAAATCGATTGAATAAAATGAAAATTTCATCATTGTTTTGAAAAATGAGGGATGCGTCGGTAATACTGACAAGGGAGACGGGAAGTCTGGAAATGTATTATGAAAAGCTATTTTTGCGATAGTAGAAGAATAGGAATATTCTCATTCTTTGTTCTCTTTGCTGTTGCTGAGACAAAAAAATATCTACCATTGATATTATGACAGTTCATGAAATATGATATACGAGGTTGCTCTATGCAAAACGTGTCTGACTCACTAAAAATTGCTCCTATAAAAATAGCGAAATACCAAAGTTTAAAAACTCAAAATTGGTTTCATAAAGGTGGTGGTATATTTACAAAAATTGTTCGGAGTTATGTCATAAGCTGTGAACATATCTTGGAAGTAGAGCAATTTCGAGAAATCGACTGAAAAAATGGAAATCAGGAGATCTACTGAGAATCAGACAAATCGAAGGACCTGTTGCAAAGTTATGCCCAAAAGATGTTTCTGCCAAATCTCATAATTCACCCTATATATTGGTGAAGAAGAGAAAAAATACACTTCCTGATGGTCATTAGACATTCCCCTCAAGGGCATCTATTCCTGGTAGGAGTATGTACATACAGTTCCTCATGACTCACCCTGTATAATCTTGGTCCCTGGGTAATACTGATATTCTTTACTACCTTGGTGTATGATAGTATATTATACATCAAGGGACAGAAATGCAAGATTTTTTCCAAGGTGACAACCCATGGTGACAGCAAATATCAAACTGAAATTTATGAAAACAGCTTTGAAAATGGTTACCAGTTATGGAACAAGAAATTAAGGACAAACCTTAAGAAATGGCTTACCACCTCAGCTATGCCAGCTATGCCATCTCTTATCGAGTTTTCTTTCAGGCAGATCGCTTCACGTGGTGGTGGACGGTGTATCGTCTGATACCATTGGCATCAATTTAGGCGTTCCACAAGGATCAATTTTGGCACCAACATTATTCCTTCTTTATATCAATGATCTGTTGATAGTACCAACTTGCCCCATCCACAGCTTTGCAGATGATATAGTGCCCTCCATACTGCGTTCTCTTCCAGAATTTCCATTTCTTCCCAGGAAACTAACAACTCACTGCGCAGGCAGGTCAATTCTGTCAATGAAGACCTTGCTGAAATCACAGCCTGGGGAACCAACAACCTAGTTGAATTCAACGCCACCAAAACTCATGCCTGTATTTTCTCTAGAAAGGCGGAACTCAGTATGCACGATATTATAATGTCTGGCATCACCATCCCCACCAAGCCCACTATATCTATGCTCGGTATTTCCATCAGCAACACTATTTCATGGGATAATCATGTCAGATCAATCGCAAAAGCTGCTTCACAAAAACTCGGATTCTTGTTCCGTGCGAAAAGCTACTTTACACCTCAACAGCTTCCCATGATCTACAAAGCGCAGATACGGTCTGTTCTAGAATACTGTTCCCACATATGGGGTTCAGCACCAAAACATACGCTGATGCTCTTAAATTCCATCCAGAGAAGAGCCATTCGCCTGGTGGGTGACGCCACACTAACTCACTCTTCGACATCATTGGAACACCGTAGAATGGTCGGCGACCTTTCACTTTTCTATCGATACTTCCACGGGAAATGTTCTTCGGAAATCTCTGCTATCATCCCTTCACTAGCAATACCAGTCAGACGAACTAGACAAGCCCAGTCAGCACATCCTTTCGTTGTCAACCTCGAAAGATGTCGAACAGCACTTGACCAAAACCCCTTCATTCATATAACGGCTAGGCTCTGGAATTCATTGCCTGAGGAAGTATTCCCAACAACATTATAATCTCCAGAAATTCAAAAAAAATTCCAATACCTAGCTCCTGTCCCTATCTTCCCTAGGAACGCACGATGTTCTTTGAACATTATAGGGATTTTCTTTCGTGCGCTCCAAGCGATAGAAAAAACTATTGATACGGCTTCTGCAGTGGTTCTTAACTTGCTACCAGTGAGATCAAGAAATCTGTATGATGCAGCTTATACTCGCTTCAGAGAAGGGTGTTCCGAAAAGAAAGCGCAGAGCTATGCGGAAAATGTAAAGTTGTTATAAACTCCCTAGGGAGAAAATATGTAACATTATCGCCCTATAGGGAATAATACGAGACTCCTCTGCCCCCCTTTTGTTACCAGAGTAACTAACTTATTCTACTCCCGCCGGCGTAAAATAGTTATTTGTTTTACTAGGCAGAAAAGTAGTAGATTGACTGCTGCGGCTGATAGTTCATAGCGAGCGTAGCGAGGCTAGGAATTCAGCCAAGGCAGTCAATCTACATTTGCTGTCGCATGAAACATTTTTTCTCCAAAATGATATAAAACCAATTTTGTGTAATTTTTTTATTGAAAACTCCATCATTAATTTTGTGTTCACCCACTGTCAGTGTCAATTTTGATTACTAATTTCATTAGAATTTCTTGGAACGTTGCATAGCAACAAACTTTTTCTGCCTAGGCAGTAAAAGTACACCTTTTCTGCCTTTTGAGCGGCAGGAAAAAGTCACTATCACTATCACTTCAATAAAACTTTGAACAAGTATATTCCATTAAAATGTACAGGGTACGAGAGTTCACGCTTTTTCCCGGTCAAAATCGCTTCCATGACTGACTACTCTAGGTTCTTCTCCTCTTCTTCTCTTTTTCAATTCCGATCTCATTCTTCTTCTTCTTTATTTCCCTACTAACCCTTACTTACTTATATCAATACGTTAATTATTTCAACTGATGTATAAGGTCATGGCACTGTATCCTCGTCAGTTGACCATATCTTGTCCTTCGGGATAGACAATATTTCCCAAATGATTGAGGGTTTGGTTGGGGTTAGCGCTTCTAATTGCCTCCTTTTTGTGCGTTCCGTTTCGTATTCATAAATATAAGTACGAATCCGATGCAGACCTATAGGCCAGACCCGAATGCCGAACGTCCATTTTGTGTTTTGCCTCCGGAATTAAGTGAAATGTTTTTGTTTCAGCCCACATAAATCACATAAGGGAGGTCGCAGGCATAGACAGCGTAGGACTAGGTGCTGGCTACGACGGAATCAACTAGTAAGTTTCTTTGTTCTCATATTATGTCTACTATACATCTTATACAGGGTGTCCCTAACATGTCTTTACAAAAATTTACCACCTATTCCGCACACTGTTTTACCATTAACCAAACTGATTTTTATACGCTTAGACACGTGTTTCGCTAACTATGTTATCATCTTCAGGGGATGATTAAGACTCAGGCGTATACAGGGGCGTCGATATTTATTTTGTTATGGGGAGAAATGACTTTCTGGTTTAGGTAATGAAAAAAATCATGTTATAGAGAGCCAGAGAACCATAAATAATATACAGTGTGGTCGTAGAAACTATCCCCTACCTTGAATTTTTGAAAGTAATAAGCTGGCGAGATCAGGTAGAATTCAGGTATTTTCCTACTTTGGGCACCATCAACTTTTTTTGTAAAGGCGCTCACGTGGTACCTGGGTTTGAAGGCCTTCTGATTTTCTATCCAACACCACTTCATTTGTAAATTCCAAAACCGAATTCATTTTCTATTGAAAAGGAATATTCTCAGATATATTTATGAGCACAAAAAAATGGATATATACCGGGTGTCCCAGTATACCTGTTCCAATAGTTTATCTCAGCCATTTCGAAAGATGAAAATTTTAAAATTACATGATCTACTACAACTCTAATAATTAGAAATTATTATTGAAGTCGAAATCAAGATTACAAAAATATCGTAGCCTACTGCAATTCGTTCAATTTGAAATTTCAATTGTCGTTTTCTCCATCAAATCAAATTGAAAATACGAGTTGTGATACATCGTTGGAACGGTAATTTTGAGTAGAAATCATAAATTTCAAAAAATATACAGGGTGCTATTTGAAATAAAAAAGTTAGAATCACTTCCGGCCAAACCGGAAGTGACTTTCAATTTTTGTTTTTCTCAGTTGGAGCTTCCTTGAACGATTTGGAGATCATGAAATTTTCGAATTTTCATTTCTCGAAATGGCTGAGATAATTAATTGGAACAGGTATACTGGGACACCCGGTTTATAAAGAAATACATTGAGAATTCGCATTCTCCATGTGATGAGAATATTAATTCTTTATCGGTTTATTCAATAGAAAACAACTACTTTCCTGGCTATATGCCACGACGAACATTGAATTATATCTATTGAACACACACGATAAGAATTTGAAATAAAAATCTTCTAAAGTAGATAACTTGCATTCTCCTTCATTCAAAGATATGCACATAATATCATCCTGAATATTCAACAGAAAACAACTACTTTCCTGGATATTTGCCGAACATTAAATTATATCTGTTGAATATCCAAAAAGAGAGCATGAAAAATCAAAATCCTCTGAAAATGAGAATTGACATTATCTCTCAAATCGAATAGAATAATATGATGTATTATGATATAAAAATATAACTTTCAGTATTGAAATGAAAATTGAAATGTATAGGAGAAGTATACTTGTATGAACTCTGATCTTGATGAGCTTGGAACTTACAAATAAAAAATCATTCGTATCAGTGATATGGGAATTATATCTCTCACAAACAGGTTTTATGACTTCACTCGAATAAAATTCATTTCGGATATCAAATCCTCATCAGTAACCTGAAGTCGAGTTATTCTTACAGCCATTCTTCATGATATATACAATTTTCATCTCTCTATAATATAACTAAAACTATAACGAACTGACATCTGAGAATCATAATTTGTTGATATAAGTGAACGGTAAACATTTCGAGCATTTTGGAGCACTTGTTACAAAATTGTTACTTGAAATTTTTTTCATTTGATAGTTTTTTTGATTTCTTTAATTTTCAGAATATTTGAAGCAAACTTCAATTGCTTGCCAATTCAAAACGGTTGGACCGATTTGCACAAACGAAGCGATGTTGGGTAGAGAATCGGAAGGTTTTCAAAACCTGGGGTATCACGTGACCCCCCTTATTTACATTCAACAGTTGACACTATAGGCCACGTGACAAAAACCATTTTCATGCCAAAAGTACTAATAAAAGAAGTATGAAGTACTTTTTTATCTGAAATCAACCCGACCTCGCTACCTCGTTGCGTTCAAAAGTTAAAGGGGAAAGATAACTTTTCACGTCCTTATACAGGGTGGAGACTTTGAATGGAATAAACTCGCTACTGGGGGAGTGACTGATTTTTCTGATGAACATTCGCGAGACACGTGAGCTTTCGAATGTATTCACCTACATTTGGCGAGCAATATGGAGAATGTAAACCAACAGGGGTAGATGGAATCAACCCCAACATGTTATTTTTTCTCTTTCCACCAGCATATTTCCAATTATCCAATGTGGGGTAACAAGCCATAGGGTTGCATTTGAAAAAATATGTTGAGGGTTGTTTCAGCTACCCCTGGAGGGATATATCCTTGATATTGGTTGCTAAAGGTAGGTAAATACATTAAATCGTTGACGTATGTCAGGAATTTTTAAAAAAATAATTCCCCTTCTCGCTCGCTAACGAATTAATTCCAGTAAAAGACCTACACTGTTTCGTTACCATCGAGACAATAGATGGTAACGACTGTATACTGTATATGAGAATTTAAAAAAAAACCATTTCATGATAATGATAAATATCATTTCATGAGCGTAGAACTAGATTTTTTCAGTAAATAAACCTCTAAAACTTCTACACCAATTGAAAGGAAGGGATTTGAATATGAAATTTGGATTGCGTAAGTTGTTCACTACAAAAAGATACTCCTGATGAAATTCTACTCTACTACTGTCATGGTTTCGACAAAATTCAAATCTTTAGTTATTCAAAGCATCAGTTACCTAACATTGAAACGATCAACAAACTTCATTGTGTATATCAGAGAGAATTTCTTATTTTTGTTGCATATTGTTGTGTTCATTCTGTATTCATTTCTTTCGATAACACTGTATTATGGTGTGTTCAAAAGCAGGTAGTAGAGGTTAAAATGTTGATCCTATACATCTCGAAAAAAACGTGTGGATGTCAAAGAATTTTGAAGTTAACCATTGTTTAGGCATGAACTAAAAGGGATACTCACGCCTCGATAGAAAAGGGAACATAATATTTTATGAAAACATCTCCAATGGCAAACCAACATTCAGTTTCCTCGAATATGAATAATTCGACAAATAAACGAATGCCTGGAAACGCGATTTTGCAAAGATATCAGACTGCTGCCTGAACGCACTGTTTGAATATTGACAAAGCCCTTCGGTCCCAGCTACAGAAAATATCCATTTTATTTATCTAGCCATTTGGATACTTCAGTGGAAGCTCTATTTTCACGCATTATTTCCAGAGGAGGGGACTGATTTATTTCCGGATTCTAAACCATGAATTTTTTTTCGTTGCTGAAAACAACACAGTGAAAACCACAATGATTAATCCTTGAGAAAATAGCAATCATAACAGGCTATTGAACTGGAATTGAATTTTTCACATTCGATCATTACACTGTGTTATTGTCACAGACCTCAAAAGATCACATACCTATGGAAGTAAATCTTCTCAACCCTAAAAATGTTATCGAAAGTAATGTATATCGTCCCTTGGAGGCTTGGGTTGCTATAAATACTTATAAACCGTTAACGATTAGGACCAAATCCGGGAAAAAAATCAAGTAGTCGGTGTCATATTGTAATGATATTCCCCTTAGAGGGGCTCTAGAAACATCAGCAGGAAGGCAGGAGTACAACGATCATCCTGTAACACGCATCCCAGATTGTTCTCCAACCTCCCAATGATTCCTACATGCACTAGCATATTTCTGAACACTCAATATATGCCGCGGTGACAAATAACGTGACAGAAGATTCTGGAATGTTCTGGAAACAATCGATGGAACAATTAGAGAGAGAGGGGTATTGTTCTAAGCAGCTTCTAGAACAAAAAGAAGGAGACGAGAGATCATTCGAGAATGTTCTCGAACCAATGCCTACCAAGGGACCTCTTATATAATCAGCCGGACAACTGCCGACAGTCAGTCGAGCAGCGAGTGTCAGAGAGACAGTTATATACCGCGTGATTTAAAAATCGTTTAACATAAATAGTAGTTATAGGTTCGATATAAATTAGTGTTTCTTCAGTTCGAATTAATCAGTTCGAAAATAAATAGTGTCGTGTTCGCTTCTGCACACGAATAACGTAACAATATGTTATTTGGAGGTGCTGAATTCGAATCTGAATGTTGCAAACAAAATGTCTTGGAGCGTTCCGAGATATTACCAAAAAACAGCGAACATTTCGCACTTTTTTCGTTTTTTTGCCCGTAACTCGGAAATCATACATTATATCGAAGAGACCGTTCTATAGAAGTAGATGAAATTTCCTAGTTAAAATTGTTCATTTTCTTCAACGTAGAGATATCAAGTATCGATACTTGTCTTTCCCTATCTTGTTAGGCTCCTTATTGAGAGGAAGTAGATGAACTGATTTAAGATTTAAATTTTGTCTCTTCTACGTTATTTTACTATAATCCTGTTGATTATGGCTTGATTTACAATGTATCCGGATGCAGTTTAGAAACTTCAACTTCCATAATGTCACTCCATTCGATTAAATCCTGCTTCTCCCTACTCTGCAATATCCTAAGATCCCGGGATAACTTTTTGAAGTCAATGAAATCTTCGAATTCTAAAGGAAAAACATCGTTCGGCTTCTGAAGTCTGGCCAATTTGAAGATAGTGTGTAGTTGCAGAGATACAAAGAGGTCTCCGGCATGTAGAATGGCGTTCGATATGCAGCTATGTACAGAATCGCCTTCATTTTGTCCGTGGTATGATTCAAAATACCGCAGAATTTTGGATTTCATATTCCTACATTGTACTACTGCAAAAAACAGCATAGCTGCAACTACAGAATTTTTGTTTTGTCCGCCACATCCGTCAGAATATAGCGAGACATGGCGAGACGAACATTATTATCGTCGTGCGATTGAAGAACTCTATAGATACATGTTGCTATTTCACACGCGAACCTCATTTGCTGATACCTTCATGCCAAGTAAAACATTTGTATGTTTTGGCAACGATATATAATAGGTGAAGTTAAAGTTAGATAAGCGCCTCTTATAAAATATAGCACTTTCTTCAGACAAAGGTAGATATAGAACTTGTTGCAAATCGAAACTTCCACATACAAATTTTTTTGTCAATGGTAGGTTTAGCTCTCATTTTGCATCCTATCAAGTTCCAACAGGAAAAATTGGGATACGCCACCATATGTGTTTGAAAATATTACACAAGAAAGAAATCACAAATGTGACCTAAGTCGACTTACGTGATGAAAACAATTTATTCAAATTCAGATACGCCGAGTAAACCATAGCAAAACTATCCATTATTGATGTACGTTCACTACGTGCAATCGAAAGGGCATCAATAGTTTAGTAGGTATCCGTTGTATCTCAATTTTGGATATTTCTGAGATACGCCACTACGTGTTTTGAAGGACGAAATGATAAACTAGGGTACCGTTGGAAAGATAATCGAACGCCCTTCAAAATGATGTGCCACTTGACGGGGGGAAAGGGGTTCCCATTTGGGATTCTACCCAGATAACACAGGATATCTTATGGATATCCATTTCAAGCAGTCCTATTCAAGGCGGGATATCCGTGGACATAAAATGTATATCCATAAGATATTCGATTGCGGATGTACTTGAGATATCCGAAACAAACGTCCTGAATACGTCCATAGGATATCCATAAGATACAGAGACAAAAGATCAATGAATGAAATGATAAATAAATTAAAAGAGATCGACAAAAGTACACTTGTGCATGGGTCTTCCAAAAGATAACGCACATTGTGATGTACTATCTGCTATTATTATTAATTTGGTTTTCAAAAACAGCGCGAGGTGGCGTAACGTCTCAGATAGTCCAAGATTGGTAAAACTGATAATTATTTATAGATCATCGATTCTACCAACTTTGGAATAGTGAAATAATGTCAATCTGTTCTCATATTTAATTAATTTGAAGTGAATTTGGAAGTGATTCCTATGAATTCGTCCAAAATCGATGATGCATAAGAACTGACAACTACATTATTCGAACGCAGTGAGACGTGAGTGCTTCCAAATTTCTGTGATTTTTTCTATATATAGGGTATATCTCTTATCCATATCCATAGTAGATATTTTATGGATATCCATAATGAATATCTTTAAGACATCCAAAAAGGTCACACTGTCACATCTTATGGACGTCCATAGGGTATACCAGAGCCTTTTTCGGATATCACCTGTCCTAGGGTGTTGAACTAAGAAATATAAAACTAATCATTTCAAGTCTCCCCTTGAAAATTAAATCGATCTGTTCTTTCGATTTCTCATATTATTCACTGAAATGGAGATATTGAGTGTGAGAAGTTTCCAAAATCTCACCGTGTATATACACAAAATTAATAATATCTTCTGAGTTTCACATTCAAATCGACAATATCAATTTTTACAAGTTAAATTACCAATCTGAAAATGATTAGCCTCAATCTAAAATTTAAGAAGGTAATGAAACCCATATCGTCACCCTAATTTATTCATAGTCCTTCTTAATGTTCTTCGTGATATTTCAGTGCTTTGTTATCTCACCCTGTACACGTTCAACCAATCTCACTCCAACGTACCCCGCTATCTCGCTAAATGCGCTTAATCTAATACTTTATTTCGCTAAATACAATAATGAAACTGAAAAAAGTAATCTGCCAGTGTAAATATCGAGTCGGAGAAATGAGGGAACTGGGTCTTATATTTCCATGCGTCCCGCGGGAAAAGCGGGATGAAAACGGGAACGGTCTTTCCAAGGCGGCCGAATTAAAAAGGAATGGCATGCCGGATATGAAAATCAATAATAAATGAAAGAAAGAATCGGTTTTCTCATCATTATGAAATACCACAGTCAGCAATTCCGGCATACCACAAGGATCCATTTATGCGCCAACTTTGTTCCTACTCAATATGAATGATATATTTTTTTATCTCTTGGAACGCACGAAAGGAAATTCCTATAATGTTCGTTCAACATCCTGAATACCTAGGGAGGATTAGGGAGAGGGGGTAGGTGTTCTAAATTTTTTTTCAACTTTTGGAGGTTATCAGTTATTGGGAATACTTCCATTGGCAAAGAATTCCAAAGTTTCGCCGTTGTATAGACGAACAAGTTCTGGTAGAGTGTTGTTCGACATTTTTCAAGGTTAACGATGAAGTGATGTGCTGAGTGGGCATGTCGAGTTCGTCTGCCTGGTATTGCTGGTGATGGATTAAGGCATATTATCTAATACGCGAGGATATCGTCGCGCCTACTTCCCGCTCCCATCTCTATTTAACTGGTACTCCATACGAAATACGATTTCAGCCTTGATTTCTTCGCTTGCTACCTTGCTGGATGCCGTAAAGGAGTCCAGAGACTGCGTTGTTGGTGGGCTGTTTTGTTCGTCGAACATGTGGTGTGTGGCTAGCGAGAACGACCATTTTGCAGCCACACTTCGGTTTTGCGTCATTTTTGTTCGAACAAACTTTTTCGTCGAACAGAACAGCCTAATACCAACAACGTATAGTGCATGGGTCCCTTTCACGCAAGCATTCATTCGCCTAGCAACAACCGTGAAAAAAGTGTACTTTTTCTCACTTTTCCGTAAAATGAAGAAACAGTACTTTGATATTGGAAAATTGTACACAAATATTTTAATAAACTTTAATGTTTTTTTTTAAATTTCACGTTTTGGATGTTTTTACAATTGATTGCATATTTCGTGTCTTGACTATTGTGAAGATTATTATTACTGCTGATGGCACCATGTGTAATGATTGGGTGCACTGAGAAAACTCGGCCAATTGAATTGTTTTCTTGAAAAAAAATCGACAGCTATTCTGACCTCAAAATATCTCCTGTTTTTTGCAGCGTGCCTCAGGGCCTCGAGGACTGCTATATTATATTGGGGAAGATTCTCAGTTTGTGTGCCGCGCTCTAAGCTGTGTGGTGTTGAGTACTTATGATTTTGATGTCTAGTTCACCTGTAGAATTTATGATACGGTGATCTGGTACACCTTGTAGAAACAGCTATTCTGACCTCAAAATATCTCATGTTTTTCGCAGCGTGCCTCAGGGCCTCGAGGACTGCTATATTATATTGGGGAAGATTCTCAGTTTGTGTGCCGCGCTCTAAGCTGTGTGGTGTTGAGAATGTATCATTTTGATGTCTAGTTCACCTGTAGAACTGATGGTACGGTGATCTGGGACACCTTGTATAAACAGCTATTCTGACATCTCCTATTTTTTGCAGCGTGCCTCAGGGCCTCGAGGACGTCTCTTCGTACCCAGCCCTTTTCGCCGAACTCATCGGCACGGGGAAGTGGAGCGTGGAGGAGCTCAAAAAGCTGGCGGGGCTGAACCTGCTCCGCGTATTCCGGGAGGCGGAGCGCATCCGGGACGAGTTCAAAAGGGCGAACGTGCCGCCCTACGAGGACGTCATGCCCAAGCAGAAGGAGAACAACTGCTCGTCGCAGGCCAACTGAACTGCCGGAAGAAATTGTGGAAAAGTTGGCAACGCTGCGATGCGAGAGTTCTTCGTTACCGGCGACTACAGTGGATTGAATAGAGTGACGACAATAGACCTCCAACTGACTGCTGTTTCCGAAATGTCATTCGTGGTCAAGTCACTGAATAGCTGAAAATCTGAAGGGTATCTCCCAATCAGTTATGGATTTGCGCCTTCGTGGTTTCCACCTAGTTTCAGATATTTGATATTTTCATTTCATCTTCTGAATAATCTGAGATATACGAGTCCCAAAAGACGGATTCTAATAGTTTATATTCAAGGTCATGGATAGAGCTATCCAACATCGAGCTCATGAAATACCTGGAAAATTCAGGTATATATCAACGATAGCCAATATTGCCTTCATCATCAGAGGTCAACTGGTGACCTGCTCGCTTACGTCTCACATATATGGCAGCAACCTATAGAAAAATATGGTGAAACCTTAGCCGTGGCACTTGATATCTCCAAGGCATTCGATCGAGTCTGGCACCATGGACTCCTCGCCAAGCTTTCATCTTATGGCTTGCCTCCCCAGCTATGTTCTCTGCTAGCTAGTTTTCTCTCAAACAGCTCTCTCCATGTAGTGGTCGACGGAGTTTCAATATCTGACTCTCTCATCATAAATGCTGGTGTTCCGCAAGGATCAATTCCAGCACCAATACTATGTATTTCTACTCCATATCAACGATTTGTTGGAAGCAACTTCATGTTCAGTACACAGCTTCGCGGATGATAGTACCCACCATATCGCCTTCTCTTCCAGGGCTCCAATACTAGCCAGGCAAATCAGAAACAAACGAGGAAGAAATGTTGACAACATGAATATGGACTTGGCAACAATTCTCGAATGGGGATCCAGAAACTTGGTAGATTTCAATGCAAGCAAAACACAAGCATGCCTTTTCTCTAGAAAAGCCGATCTCACTGTGCCCAACATAAGCTTATTGTCAGGAGTAACCATGCCTTTGGAGACATCCATTTCGATGCTTGGTATTACTATCAGCAATAACCTTTCTCGAGAAAATCACGTGAGATCCATTGCTAAAAGTTCATCCCAGAAACTTGGTTTTATGTTTCGGGCCAGGAGCTATTCCACTTCCAGTCAGCTGCTCATGATCTATGAGGCACAGATCCGACCTGTCCTGGAATACTGTTCCCATATTTGAAGTGCATCACCCAAACATACCCCGAAACTGTTGTATTCTGTCCAAAAAAGGGCAATTTGTCTCGTGGGTAATGCGTCGCTCACAAACTCACTCACTTCTCTGGAACACCGTAGAAAAGTTGGCGATCTGGTACTATTTTATAGATATTTTCATGGACGATGCTCTTCTGAAAGATCAACAATTGTTCCTCCCTTGACAGTCCCCGCGAGATTAACCCGTCGAGTTGAGGCTTCGCACCCCTTCGTGGTCACTTTGGAGACCTGCAGAACATCTCTTTCCAAAGACTCGTTCATCCAACGAGCAGCGAGGCTCTGGAACACATTGCCGAGGAAGGCGTTCCCCGAGGCATATAACCTCCAGATATTCAAGAAGAACACCAATTCCTACCTCATTTCCCTTGGTTCTCACGATGTTCTCTGAACATTACAGGATATCCTTTTTCGTGGGAACCAGAACATGAAAAGAAGGTACTGACGTATAGAGTTTCATGTCTGATTGTGTCCAGTGTGCAGAAAACAGAGACAAAGCATTGACAAAGTGAAATAGAATGCGTAGAACTGAATGGAGAAAACAAGACAGGTAGATGCACCTCCATATCAAAAGTCTGAACAATCAAAAAGTGTACCACTATTGTCGTCACTCTATTTATGAAGTCAAGTCACTCTACCGGCGACTAGACAAGGAAAGAGACCGGATCTCTCTGTATTTTAATGCGACCACGTTGGTAGCACTGAAGAAAAAGATGGAAGAGAAGAGAAGTTTCCCTTCTCCCATTCCATAGTAGAAAAGAGCTCAATTTCACTTTGTCAATGCTTTGTCTCTGTTTTTTGCTCTCTAGACACAAATTATCTAACAATCAATGCCGACTATTAATGTCGGTCTTTTGAGATTCATGAGTCTCAGATTATTCAGATGATGAAATGAAAATATCAAATATCTAAACCAAACATCAGATGGACACTTCCAAGGCGCAAATTCATTACTGCATGGGAAATACCCTTCAGATTTCAGTGACTTGACCACGAATGACATTCTGGAGGTCTATTGTCGTCAGTCTATTAAATCTTCCCACACTAGATGCCACGAGTCGGTTGTTGCCAGATTCAATGTGATTACAAGTTTTACTGGAGAGATAAATCATCTTCTTCTGAGAAAATCAATCCACAGTGGAATGCTCAAGATCCAGTAGTCTCACTCATTGTCGCCACCTTTAATGTTCGTTACTCCGTTTTATTTCGTTTTCCTGCGCCAGGTTGACTATTTTATCATGATTTCAATACTGGGGGATACGAAATATCCAACAATCAGGGCATGAACCTCTATACGTCGGTATCTTGAATATTAATTATTTTATTTTTCACTCGTCCATTACTGCTTCATAATATCTTGGCAACGGTTGCTTTTAACAGACCCATAACGCCCTAGGGCGTTATGGGGGGTATTATAATGAATCATAACGCCCGCTATTTTGTTTTTGTCTGTAGTTCAATAAATTAAATAGAAATTATTACAATTCTCCAATGTTCCTGAAAAATTAGTACCATGTTTGAAGTTCTGTGAGTCGACCGACGTTGAACCCTCAATGTGCATTCGGTTTCGTTCGGAACGTTAACATTTTCTTTTCGGAAACGGAATGGGCTATTATTGTAGCAATTTTGTTCTTCGAGCAGATACTTTCTTCAATATAGCTCTCCGCTACCGTAATACTCTTCCATTTTCTATGTAATTTTAGCTTTGTACATATACCTACCTAGTTCAGATAATAATGAAATAAATCGACTGAAAAAAAATCATACCTACCCTCAAGATTATGACACGACGGTAGGTAATAGGTAAGTAGACTAGATAATTATGAAAAATTGATAATGATGGTTGAATTCCAAAAGGAAGTTTCGTGTATAGTTGTTTTTCGTGAAAAATGTGAAAATTATGAAATGGTGATCGAAAGTAATCATAATTCAATGTTAATCTATTCGAATAATTATGAATGGTGCTATCATAGGATAAGTAATTAAGTAATAAAAATGGACACAAAGAGTCCCTAAAACCCTATTTTTGTTGTTCCAAGTGTTTGAATAAAATAAGATTTTATATCCGCAAGTTGACAATTGCTGTAAAGTTTATCATAAAAGTATTAGATAAAATATTTGATTTTTTCACTATTGAATAGGTCATGTAGTTTTTATAATTTATTTTTAAAAAATCGTCAATTTTAAGAACTACATTTTCTATTCATCACCAATTTTGTTCGTTCTATTTTACAAACTCCGCTAAGAGTTTTTTATGTAGATAATTCTAAAAAGTACTTAGTGTTGTAAGAGTGTCGAGCAGCAAAAATATTGATTTATCTTGTACAAAAAATATTCTTCGACCTTTGACACTCCAATTTGATGAATGTTGTATAGAATATTATGTATATAAAAACCCTGGAAAAAATCGCTTCTAGATAGAATAATTGACCTTGAACAGGGTTACTGAAACGTCAAATTATGGAAGTAGGTATTACATCATTAATTTTTTATGGAAACATTTTTCGCTACCGAATATTTCAATAGTTTCAGGTGACCACGAGAAGCATTATGCTGTTATTTTTAGGATGAAATAGCGTAAAGTTGCTACTTTTTCTTACAATCTTGTGAACCAATCAGTCGAGAATAAAAATGTACGATTACTTATATCTACAGTGTGTCCATTTAGTGCGTAATTCTTCGATATCTCGAAATCCATTATCACCAGAGGAAAACTTCTGAAAACAAATTTCTTTCGTTATTAAAGGTTCCATTTCAAAAATATTTTCTACAATACTGGGTGTTTTATAATAGCGGGAGGACTCGGAGACGATTTTTTTTAAATAGAACACCCAGTATTTTTTATTCAAAATTTATCCCACTGAGGTTTAGCTCCACATCGCTGTAGCAAAAATTGAATTTGGTTGCAGCGTTGCCAAGTTATAATTGATAAACCCATTTTTACTACTATTTGAAGGGTCATGTTGAATTGGGTATGGTATATTCATTTATCAAAATTTCGAAAATATTTTTGGCAAACAGTAGTAGTAAGGTCTCACGTACACCAATCCAGTAATTTTGCGAGATTATCCTTTACAGGGTGCTAAAATTCACATTCTGAATATTGTAAGATTCAGACGAAGCTCAGTTGAATTTTTCAAATGGAACACCCTGTATTTCTCATCACGACATCATTCGCCTTTTCATCGCTAAAAAAAAAATCAAAATTGGTTACGGCGTTTTCAAGTTATGAGTAATTTCCTTATGTTTATCACTATCTCAGGGCAACTTATAAGGCATATGGTTCCTTTATTTGATTTGAGTGTGGGAATATTGCTTGCCACATGACATTCGAGGTTCTACATAGATCATTCAGGTATTTTTGCGATATATGCATTGTCCAAATAATCTTGTTACTCATGATTTAAATAATATGTACCTATGTGAAACAAACAAACATGCCAAAAGCAGAATTTGAATAAATGAATATACCATGCTCTAACTTTTAAATTTTTTCACAGCGATGTGAAGGTGAACCTCGGCGGAATGAATTCCGAATAAACAATATTGGGTATTCCATTCGAAAAAACTCGTCTCCGAGTCATCCCGCATTTAAAAAACACCCAGTAATGTTGAAAATAGTTTTGAAATGAGCAGTTAACTGAAGAAGTTTTTTCTTCAATTTTTTTTCTATAGGTTATGGCTTTGGAGATAACGAAGCATTACGCACTAAATGGACACACTGTATATTGGGCTATCCCGAAGGTAAGAAAAATGGAAAAACTCACAGTTCTGTGCCTATTTAAAGGAAAATTACTTGATTGTGGTTTCTGGAATCCATTTCGATTAATCTACTTGAATAAAAATCAAAAGAGGTTGTAGAGAATGCCGATTTTTTCCGGAATTTTCCAACTCAGAACGACATTATTTT